CTTTTTACTATCACTTTATTACTCATTATGATGATGATGATAATATTTTTTTTTTCGTTTCTTGTTAAATTTGATGATTCAATACACTACACATACAATAAATGAACAAGAAAAAAAAACAAACAAACAAACACAACATGATGATTCTGTGGAAAAAATTCTGAATATCAAAAATACATTGTGATGTGTTCTAATTCAATGAGAATGAATGTAGATAGCAAAAGGTTTTCTTTGTCCCAAATGTTTGTGTTTGGTGAATAACCCCAGGATATTATCGTATTATGTTTGGTTGATATTAATAAATTAACAACTTTAACCGGAAGTATTTGGAAATAGCCATTGAATATTAATATATTGAAACTTGAGTTATGATGATATGATATGATTCACTCGTCATAATTAACACCACTAAAGATTGATTAAAATGATAATGTAAAGCGCTTGCGTATATATTTTCATTTTTTTTTTTTGGATTACACAAATGATGATGGAACCTGAAAACAAAACATTAAAATGTTCAAACACTGAATGAAAGCTTGTTTTCCGTATTCATTAATATATCAGGGTAATTTTTTTTTTGATTTTTGGTCACTGTAAAATGAAAAGAATGAAGCTTTTTTGAATTTTTGCTTTCCGATTGAATAAAAATGGCCAGGAAAAAACCTTGTTGTCGTTGTTGTTGTTGTTGTTGTAGTAGTTGTTGTTGTTGTTATTATATATACTGTGTGTAGACATAACATGTGAAAAAGAGCCGCGAAAAATCGTGCTAAGAATTTTGAAAAAAAAAAAAAATAGGTTTATTCTCTCTCGTTCTGTCTATTTTTGTATAAAAATTTTATTATACAGGAAGAAGAAGAAGAACAAACTGGTAAATGGAATCGTCTAATGATACTAGGATATATATTTTTTTGTAGTTTAAGAATTGATTGCAGTTTGATTTTCTTTCATTTACCAATAGCCAAATAACCATCATCATCATCATCAATATGATCATTGAACATTTTTTTTTTGACTCACTGTTAATGATGACAATGACATTATCGGAAATATAGTAAAAATAATTTTCATTCCTCTAATACATACACAAAAATCGTATATCCCCGTTGAAGCAAAAAAAAAAAAAATATAACCTCATTTGATGGCTATTAAATGGTGAAAATAGATGACCACCACCAAAAAAATAATGTTTAGACATCTAATTGCTTCGATTTTTTTCTCTACTCGTTAAACGCAACATATAAACTCATGAAAAATTCTTTCATCCATCAGATTTATCCATATAGACATTCATAACCAAAAGGAAAAAACATTCGAATTATCCACTACTTTTTGCGTTAATCGGTTGTTGTTGTTGTTGTTATCAATATCTTATTTAAGGGGGATAGGAAGTATAGAGGGCGCAAAAAAAAACACATTTTTTGTTAAATGATTGCTCTTTAATGAAACTTCCGAAATTTTTGAAATTTATCTATTAAATTATTTAGGATTCCTAGAATAATTTAACATAAACAAAAAATAAAAAATATTTATAAATCAATATGAAACAATCAGTTGAAAATCAGCTGTTCAAAAAGCATGGTCGTCGTGATATCTTAAGAACCGTAGCTCAGAGTTTGATGAAATTTTCAGGAATTATGGACAGGATTAGTGGCTATCGTGAGTGACTAAATCATGACTCAGAACCGGATATTATGGCGGATATTAGCCTGAATGTGAAGAAAAAAACTGTTAATTTTTTAACCATAAGTTTCAATTGGCCCAAAAATGCCCTTCTCCTTGGAGATATAAAACGATTTAGTCACTCACGATAGCCACTAATACTGTCCATAATTTTCGAAAATTTCATCAAATTCTGAGCTACGGTTCTTAAGATATCACGCCGACCATGCTTTTTGAACAGCTGATTTTCAACTGATTGTTTCATATTGATGTATAAATATTTTTATTTTTGATGTTAAATTATTCTAGGAATCCTAAATAATATGATAAGTTTCAAAACTTCGGACGTTTCATTGAAGAGCAATCATTTTGCGTTTTTGCTCATATCCCCTTGTAATTTTTTTCAATCTTAGTTTTTTAAAGAGAAAGTAGATAATTGGTGTCTATGGACCATTTTTTTTCACCATCTGTCAATATTGAAATGGAATGAAATGTTATTGATGGTTTGGTTGATATGATAAAGAACTCGTAATTTTTTGTTTCTCAATTTGTTTCATTTGTTGCAGAATTGTTTAGTGACATTGAATTTTTTTTTGCATACCCATAGATAAGCTTATTTACTTGGAACAGGAAAAAAAACCCACGCACACATTCACTAACACATAAAATTATCACCAAGTTTCACGTTTTTTTTATGATCATTCATGACAATTGATTTTTCTTGTATGTTGACCCAAAAATAATATCGTTCCACATCATGGAGAATATCATTTTATATGTACTCACTCAATATTTCTCTATCATCATCAATAATATTATTATTGCATCATTCATGAATGGAAAGAAAAAGAAGAATCTTTAAGAGTCTTTTTTTCCATACACATATTCTCATTCGTTGATACGATGCGTAACAAACAAACAAACATTAAAACGCCTCCATCATCAATAAAAATAGAACAATAACAACCTGATATATAGAATGGCGAAGAATGAAAAATAAAAACTTGAACCAGCAAACAAAACAAACAAAAAAATGAAATAATTCAATCGAGAATTCATTATAATTTTTACATATATACATAATATATGATATATGACAGGTGACATCATCATGGTTATATATAGCATCATCATTATATTCATATATGAACTCATATTCAATCATCATCATCATTGTGATTTCAATATTTCAATATTCATCTGATAATAATGTAGCGCAAGTGCACAAATGGTAGAAAGAGAGAGAGAGATTGTTTAAATAAACATTAAAAAAAAAATATAAAGAATATTCATTCATCAATATATTCAATATATATATTCGATTGAATTGTAATCAAACTAATGGCATATATATACTTTTATGATGATACAAATAAAGTAAAAAAAAATTCGTAATTCATTCATGAAGATTGGATATGAAAAAAAAATTCAATTTTGTGTTTTGAATTTGTAGGATTTTCATCTATTTTTTTCTCATTTTTTTTTTGATGAAAATAACTAATCTAATCTAATATTAAAATGACAAATGTATATGATAATTTAATTTTTTTTTTAGTTTAGTTTTAAAATTGTTAGATTTTTGATCATTCATTTTTCTCCCCTGTTTAATAGTAGAATTTCGTGATAATGAAAAATGAAAAACAAAAACAAAAACAGAATTATATCTTGGAAACAATTCTGATGATGATGCAAAGAATAAAAAAATGGGCAAGAATAAAAATAAAGATGAAGAAACACACACACACACAAATTGTATTAAAATGTGTAATCATTGCAAGCATTTTGTTTTGTTTCGTTTCACACATACATATATAGTTCATAATACCCATAGTTTTTTTTTATAATTAATGAACGTTAAAAGCGTTCTGTGTGACACATACGTATACGTTATGATGATGATGATGATGGTGATGAACAAAAGCAAGAAAAAAAATGGATGGATACACAGACACAATGTGAATGTTATTATGTGTGTGTGTGTGTGTGTGTGTAATATACACAGTTATGAACAAACGAAGAATAAGAAGTTTCTGCGAATGAAAACTCTATCTAAAACAAGAGCAACAACAACAACAACAAAAAAAGAAAAGAAAAATTGTGAGTGAGATATGGCCTCATGACATCACAAAGATTCTGTTTGAGACGATTTGCATTTAAATTAAATTCGTCTTTCTTGACATAGTAGTAATTCTAGTGTGTGTATGATGAATTGGATGGGTTTTTTTTTCGAAGATTTTCGCTTTCATTTTTTTTCCCATTCAATCGTCATATATTTCCTTATTATTTGTTTCATTTTATTCTTTCTTTTTTTTAAAAAAAAGTTTTTTTCCTTTGAATCTTTTCGCATGGAAGTTTCGCATTCATTTCCAATTCTAGTAAATGTGTTGCCCTATTCTGTATTTCCATTCGAATAACAATTGTATTCTTTCTTTCTTTAATTGTCTGACCGATTTATGAATTCAAAATTTCCATTCACATACGAATTGCACAACATTCTATATGTTTCAAATTCTTTATTCATTTACCTGTGTGAGAAAAATAGAAATCATTTTCACTATTGTTTACGGTCTATCTGTTTGTTTGTTTGTTTGTTAGTTTATTCGAAACAAAACAAAAAAAAAAAATTAATGAACAAACAAAGCTACTGCTTTGGCAAACATACTTGAACAAACACCCACTCAACACGCACACACACACACACACAATCGAATACCTGAAATGAACGGAAGAAAGAAAAAGAAATATACAATGGACAAATTGAATTAGATGCATCGGATAAATTAACATGACTATTCTTCTTCTTCTTTTTTTTTTGTTTCATGTTCATTTCTTTTTTCCATGTTCGTGTTCGGTTGAATTCTTGTTTGTGTGTTAAGTGTGTGTATGTTTGCATGAATGTGATCACAAGATCCGGAACAAAAAAAAAAAAAAAATATTCATTCAATGAGAAAACAAATTGACAAACACTAAGATATTGGAAATTAATGAGAAAAAAAAATAAGAACGAATCGAATTGAAAATCCATGTTTTTGGCGAGATATTTATCTATTTCTATTTCTATTTTTTTTTGTTTCAATTAAATTATGATGCATGTTTGTTCAATGTTTGCAAATGTTACTCTGTTATTCTGTTTTATATATAAAGTTGTTGTTGTTGCTTTGCGTGTCCGAATCATTGAGTATGGAAAGAAAACAAAAAAAAATTCCGGTCATTTTTATACTTTTTTTTCTTGTTATTTTTGTACGGGTTGTATTTTACTTGAATTTACGTTGTTTTTGTTTTATTTTTATAATTAATGTATATATCCTGTATCTTTATTTTGTCTATTTGTTTGTATTTAGGTCCACCCGTACAAGTTGGTGTATCGATGCACATTATTGGCATTAGTTCAGTTTCTGAAGTACAGATGGTAAGTATACAATGATTGTAAATCTATATATATTATACTTTCATGTTTCATTATATCATTGTAGGATTTTACATCTGATTTCTATTTTCGTCAATTGTGGAAAGATAATCGATTAGCATTTACGCCTGTTGGCGAAATCGATAAATTGGTTGTCGGTGCTGAAGTTGCCCAAAAAATATGGGTACCTGATACATTTTTTGCCAATGAAAAAGTGGCCTCATTCCATAGTGCTACAACGCCTAATACATTCTTACGTATATCGTCCAGTGGTGAAGTCTATAGAAGTATTCGGTAAGTAGTAGCTGTTCAATTTTTTCTTTACATTTTTCTTTTATTTGTTACATTTTCACACATTCACACAATCACAAATACACACAAATACACACACGCACAGACTACAAAAATTGAGCTCAAATTATTTAATCATTATACACACATAGTATTATTATCTGATTGTGTGTGTGTATGTGTGTGTGTAAATGTTTTGTGGAAAAAAAAAGAAATTCCCATCAAATTTGAATCATCATCATCATTATCATTATTATCATTTGAACAAATTTCTTTTTTTTTCCATTTCACAATACACCATAATCATGTCATTAATACGAAAATGATGACGCGATCATTTGTTGGTTATAGTTGATGATGATGATGATGATGATGATGATTTTTTTATTGAAACATATCATTCTCAATAACAAATGAAAAAAAACCGAACAACCAACATTGTTATTTGTTGTTGCACAAGTTTCAAGTGACCAATCAACCAATAAACGAGTGACCAATCGACCAATCAACAAACAAAACACAACCGCATGTCAAACAATATGACAGTTTTGTCACTCAATATATAAAAATGAATGAATGAATTCACTGATCAACATTTATTTACTCTGTGTTCATTGTGTTTGTTTGTTTTGATCTAGCAAACAACAAAGTTTTTTTTTCACTTTTACTTCATCATTCATGCCATTCACTCATCATTGTTTGTATATGATGATCAATTTTGATCATCATATATCGAATAAATTCAAACTGATGACGTTAAATATTTTTCAATCAAATACTTTTTCCAAAAAAAAAAAAAAAAAAAACAAACTGAATACATTGTACAAATAACGACAACAAATATTACATGTCCATTTACAATACACACACACACGGTACACATGGTCAATATTATGACGATGACCATCATCATCATAATTTTTAAGCTTAATTACTTTATGGTCACTTCATTATTCTTTCATATTTGATATGTAATTTTTTTTTATTTAAAAGCTACTACAAGCACATACACAATAACACACGTAATAAAATGATGATGAACAGGAACAACAACAACAAAAAAAAACTATTATTATAATTCCTCATCATCATCATCATCATAGAGGCCTTGTTTTTGGTAAAGTTGGCTTTCCTCCCTTACATTTTTTTCCCAAATTTTTTTTTGTTCATTTACAGATGACACGAATTTTAAATGAGAATAAATATTAGAATCGCCCATTTAGTTTGTGTGTCATACATACAAAACAAAATTTTTTTTCTTTCCTTTTCCATATACTCATTCTTGTATAATTGATATGCATGCTTTTCAGGCATTCAATTCTATTCAAGCGTTTTTTTTCATTCAATTTTTTTTCCTGTTTGTGGTTTTTTTTACAATCACATATATATTTATATATGATCAACTTGGATCATCATGAGTGGAACTATAAATATATACCCGTTGAAAAAGAATGAAAAAAAACTTTAAGCGATAATTTTTTTTCCAGAAAAAAAATGGAAAAAAAAATTAAAATTCATCATTGACATCAAGTTTTCTGGTGTTTTTTTTTGTTCACTGTTCGTTGTATTCGGTAACTAGCCGAATCGTTTTGTGTGTGTGTGTGTCTGTGTGTTATCTATGTGTCCATGGTACACTAATATATCCATAGATATTGTGTACAAGCATCAAACAATGGAAAAATGGTGCACATTTTGGATGCCAACCGAAAAAAATGATTTTTTTTTGATGCGGCCTAGCAAACAACAAAACAAAAATAACATCACTCATTATAAAGATAGAGTCACTATGGTATTTTGACTATATAATGTGTAATTTTCTCTTGTATATGTTGTTGTATATCTTTTTGGTTTCTTCAGTTTAAAAAAAAGAATCTATCCAAAGCAAAAGACTCTTTGAAACCAATAATGTATCGGAATCGTTCACCATTCTTTTTCTATGTGCTTCATTAAGATAAATGAGTCAGCTATACCGATGGCTGTATGTTGGTTGAAAAACAACAACAACAACAACAAGAATCCGAATAAACAAGTTCACAAAATACGATGATAATTTTTTTTCTTCCATTTCATCCTAATCGTCGTCAACATTGTTGTTGTTGTTGTTGTTTTCGTTATTCTAAAACATACAAGGCCTTTGTTTCACAATACACATATAAACATTCATTTTGTCTATTCATTTCTGTATATGTTATAGAATCCAAAAAAAAAAAAAAAAAAAATGTGGAGTGTATTAATATCAGCCAGAAAGAAAGAGTGGGAAAGAATAAATCGCGCTATCCAAAGATATTCTTTATATTGACATTCTAGGTCTTTGGCAAAGAGAGAAAAAAGTCAATCGATTATGTGGTAAAAAAAATAGTACCATATACTAACGACGATAAACCAAAAAGCGAGAATATTCCATGAAACTATTATTAGCAAAGGAAAAAAAACCGTTTACATCGTTTGTTTTGGCTGATAGAATTCAGAGACTAAAAATAATAATAATAATAACAGAACAAAACGATTCTTTTTCTTTCAAATATTTTCATTTACTCCATCGGAAATTCATCAACAACCACCAAGTCATTGACACTATATAATCATCAATGATAATGTCTTCTTTGTCGATGTTGTGTTTGTTTCTATTGTTGTTGTTGTTGTTTTTTACAGTGTGTGTCTGTTCATGTATCAGAATCGACAAGAGAAATGAGAAAAAGACCAGAAAACCGCGATAATATACCGCTTGGTTTTGTTTCAAAACAGAAATTTTTTTTTAACTCTAAATAAATACATTCATTCAGAGAACTTTATCCATTATTATACAATAGCAATCACATATATAGGCAAATTGAAAACGACTAAAAGTTCACGTGACACATATTGATACAAAACCACATCATCATTAAATCATTATTTTCCATTAGACAACAGAAAAAAATAACTATTCGTATCGATAGATAGATATTGATTGTTTTCGGATTGAATTATTTGTTGTTGTTGTTGTTGTTCGGAAACAGAAAATTTTTTTATCATTTATTTTATGCGTCGTTTCATGATAATCAATTTGATTCATTTAAAATGCAATCATTTTTCTTTTTCTTTCTTTCTTTCTTTTTTTTTGCCAAAATATTTTCCATAATGGATATTACAAAAAAAAAGAAGATTCTCACTATGCCTGAAATACAAAATGAATGACGACCATTTTGGAATTTTTTTTTAAACTGTTTTTTGTGTATGTATGTCTTTCATCGAAACCCGGCTGATGCTAATCTAATTATTTTTTTTTTTTTTGGCGAAGGGAAAGGAATAAATGTCTGTTTGTGATTGTATCATTTAAGAGTAGGGAAAACTTTTTTATTATTATTATCATCATCATCATCATTATCTTTGATTATTTTAAATGGATTCATGGTTACACATCAAGTGTGTGTGTGTGTGTGTGTATTTTTGCCTGTAAAAAATATTATCATTGGATCATTTTATCCACACAATGAATCAATTTTTTTTTCTTGCCTAAATATTTATGCATCATCATTATTATATCGTTTTATGTCGTTCTTTATTGTTGTTGTTGTTGTTTTTTGCACATCATAGACATTTGCGTTGTTCATTCGTTTTTTTTTTTTTTTTTTTTTTTTGTTCATCACCATTTTTTTTTTGAGTTTCTGGAATTTGGCCTACAGATTCGGCTGATAGTAAATGAATGAATGAATGAACGAACGAGGAGTAGGAAGTGATAGTAGAAAATGTAGAATGCAGACATTAGTCAATTACATCGATTCTATCATAATAGGCATAAAGATGAGAGTAAAAGAGAGAATGAAATGAGAGAGAGAGAATTTTTTGTCATCAATCAAATTCTCTTAAGTCTTTTTCTTTTCATGTTTTATTTGTAACCAAACAGAAAAAAAAGAAAGAAAGAAAAATCACATGTTCAGAAATACATACACAGAATAAGAATTAACAATTTGTGGCTTTACTTGGTCTTTTATTTTATTTTATTTTTTTTTTGCTGGTCTTTCATAGTCTTTTCATTTCGATTTTGAAATTCTTATTATTTTCAATCTTTCTTTCATTTTGAAACAACACGCACACACTTTAGACAAACGAAACTTTTTTCTTCAACTTGTGATCAATTAGTTTGAGAATAGATTGGCTATACAAATTTTTATTTCACATAACATCCATGTTTCATATGTGTGTGTTTGTTGCTCAAAAGAACGCCGAATTCAATCGATCATTTTACTATCAACATTCAAGAAAATGATGAACAAATCCAACTTGAATGATGTGATGAATAGAATGAATAGGAGAACCATTGAAGAAAAAAAACAACAAAAAAAAAACTCGCAATAAAATGTCATTACATGTCTAGCAAAAAAAAAAAAAAAAAAAATGGGCCATTTTTTCATTTGAAACAGATTTCTGAAATTTCCTGGCACTTAAGATGTCAAAATTCTTTCTTTTTTTCCATGAAAAACAACAACAACAACAACAACCAAAAAATCTCATCCTTATGATCACTACTTTTATTATTGATCATTTTCATACAAAAAACACTTCCATACACGTTTCATGATATAGCGATAATCGCGAAAAAAAAAAAATGAATCAAAACATATGAATTGAAAATTATAATTATCATCATACAAAATACCGATTTCATGAGAATAATTAAGCTAATCTGGATCAATGAATGAAAATAGTATATATATGTAATAATCATTATGATGATGACCGTTGAGCATTCATTTTTATGCATGAGCATAAGTGTAGGTGTTATTATGAGATATTCATTTTTTATCTGTCCATTGTCTATTATTAACATTTACAATCGTTTTTTTTGTTGCTGGCTGATTAGTAAAAAAGAAAAAAATTCAAATAATTTGTCTCCATCATTTGTGAATAAATCAAAATTAGCTTATTTATATATGATGATGATGACCAGTTTATTCGGTATGCATCATTGCATTAATTTATATGTTAATTTCAGTTATAGTTTCCACCCTAATGTGTATAAT